ACCATATTATCCTTTTCAAAACAAAGCAAACGTTGCCACCGGCGGAAAAGAAATACAGCCAAAATTCGGGAGCCACGTAAGATAATTATATATAATAGATTAATATCGAACTGATATTCATTAGCAAAAAGCAAACGATTTTAAATGAAGAGTGAACCACAGCTGCCACAGATTTTTAATTATCGTCGTTTTTTTTAAAAAAAAGTGAAAACGATTATACATGTTATAGCTTTTTAAAAGCTTTGTTCTACTTTCAGTAAATGTTAATTGTTTGCTGGTGATTTTTGATGTTACTTAGTAGTAATATATTATTTGGTGAAAAAGGATGAACAACTGAATACGCTATGCCACATATTTGCAAATAATGGTCTTTTTTTAACATTGTTTGTATGATTATATAAACAAAGTTACATAAACATTTGATTATCTGATAACTGTAGTGACGACGATGTCAACAAAAATGGATTATTTCAAAAAAGTGATAACTTTTGATGAATATTGTATTAGAACTCGAAGAACCTTTTATGGTTTGGTTATAGTCATTGCGTTTTTTTTCTGTCGAAAAGTGCTGAATATTCCAAGTTTGTGATTTTAAGAAGTTTCGTGCTTTCATCCCAACTTTGTACAGAAAGTATAAAATAATATAAAAGGGGTGAGTCCTACTTATTTTGTTTTCCCGCAGACGAATTCTAAAATTAGAGAATAAATTAACATTTGTGATTTAAGATAAATTAGAATACATTACTGGTTTAAGATTGATGATTGAAGAAAACTGATATGTTTTGAGTTCAATTTCGTTATTTAATTTCGAATTATCTAGTGGATTTTATTTTTTTGTTTAAAAGTTCATTTTCATTTCATTTAAATTCATTTTTTTCCATTTTCAAATAATTTTTCGGTATTTATTTTTGATTGTCAAGTCATTATTTTATTTTAATTACATTTTTTAAACAATATTTCTTTATGGAATTCATTTCTTTATGGAATTAAGATTGATTATTTTTGTAAAGTAATTAATTTTTCTGCACATTTTCTTTTCAATATTTTAGACTTTTTTTGTCATTAAATACATAAATTTTTGAACAGTAGAGATATTAAGACATTTTAAGCTATATTTAAATTTAAAATCCAAAGTTTTTAATGTGAAATGTATACTGAAATCTTTCAAAATTGTTTTAACATCTAAATTTACAATTCTCACTATACACAATTATTCATTTAATACTTTTATAAATAAATAAATATTTCACATTATCATTACTGATTTTTCAAAATGAATTATGCTTATTAGTATGTAGTTATTAAAATCTACGACTTACAGACATGATTTTTAAATATTGTAAGCCTATTTGTATCTGTAAACACAAATGTTTGAAATTTTGCATTTGTTTAACAGCTTCTTTTTTTTAAAAAAATTCTAATACTCTAAGATTTGTTGGAAAAAGTTATCTGCTTAAATACATATTTTCTCCAATATATATTTTCGCATCACTGTTCAGCAAATTTCCAGAGCAACCAAGAAACAACCTAAGATGCACGCAATTAAAGATCAAGGGAAAGAAAAGTTTTATGTTCATTTTTCACAAAAATGACGATTGGNAACCAGGCCTTGAGCTAACAAACCAGTATTTTGTTGGCGTCAGCGTGACGTTGACGTCCCGCTGACGCCCAGATAAGGCGCTTGTCCTAAGAAACCAGACCTTTAGATGCATGCAATTAAAGATCAAGGGAAAGAAAAGTTTATGTTCATTTTTTACAAAAATGACGATTGGGTATTTTGAGTAATACTAAGTTTTCACAAATCTATAACGTTGAAAATTGATTCGTTCCAAGAGTTTTTAATTTTTAAGACATGCCGTGCCGGGAGCCTTGAATCAGCTTTCATTGGACATAAATCTTTCGTACTCTCTTCAATTAGCTTTGATTTACATAAAGCAACTTCACACAACTCTGGAATGAATTTTTTTTTATTAGTGGCATAGTAGTGAAGATAAAATAAGCACATAAACTTTTGCAGCAACTCAAGAATATTATCTTCTTAGGAGTGGAGAATAAACAAATTTTCCAATCACTTCACAGAGTTCAAAAATTGAGATAAGACTGAATCCTAACCACAAACCTAAGTATCCTCCTATATAGCCAAAGAGTTCAACAGTCTAAAAAAGAACACATAGGTAATTTTAAACATGGGTAATGCATTGTTCGAATTCATGTGATGACAATAATGAAGGCATATAAATGGTACGAATATTAGTACTAATGAAGTATCGCTGAAAATGTTGAGGTTAAAAAACATCAAAACCTGTTTGATCCGTACATTTTGTCTAAAGTAAGAACTCTCCTAGTCATTCGTCTGGAACCATGGCGGTGACTATGGCAACGAGGTATAACCATTTCAAGTAAGGGTGTGGGGTTTTGAACCAGGGCTGTGAGAGAATGGGAAGCTTTTTTTCCGGTCTATTGTGTTAGCCTTAGAGTAAAGAAAAGCTACCCTTCCTGAAATGCGCTATTCTGTTTCCATAGCAACAGACAGCATCAGACTTTGTACCGGGGGGGTGGAGCTCTTACCGTAGACTAACTATTGATAGATGTCGAAAGGCGGTTATCATAAATACTTCGCAGTTTTGTTTGGTAGTCATACAGGTTTTGAAGTTTTTCATCTCACTATAGTCTTTAAGTAGAACACGGTTACGTGATTTCCCCACTCTTTTCCACTTTTTTCACTCTGTTACTGTGGTTTCGGGTAAATCTCACTTTTTCTCCATCTCCAGATTATTCCGACTTCTTACTGAATGGGGAAAAAGCAAGGTTTGGCGAAACAATGGGAAAGGAGTGGGGAAAAGTGTGGAAAGTGGAAAAATTGCATAATCTTGAGGAGCTTATTCCATTTACAAAATGTAGAATAGTTGGACTAAGTTCGCGACAGCGTTTTTGTTTCTTCCTTGCTCAAATAGTAATTTGAAGCCCCTGAAGTATATAAACAACCTTTGGCAGAGAGAATATATTATTATTAGTATATATTAAAAGTATATATTATTAGGTAGTAATTACGTAATACTTTAGTTGAGGTAAAATGGGGATGCGAATTAATTTCTTTTTGAATATTTATCTAAAACATTGTTTTAAAATTTAGTTTCTTATATTGATATAGCAATGAGTTTTTTAAGTATTTTACATTGGTATTTTAACATTTTTAATCCTTTGTTTTAAGTGATTTTACCCTACATTTGTGGGGAAAAAAGGTTATAATAACCACCTTGTCATTATATTTTTCCCACATATAAGTACTAAAAAATAAAAATAATATTTTAAATTATTCCTAAATCTTGAAAATTTTTATTATCAATTTATTTAAAGTTCTAAATTTATGTAAAGTTTGTTCACATTAAGTTTGTTCTCACAGTTCTATCCAGTTTCGCTTTTATTAGTAATTAAAAAAAAGAATGAACCGGGATAGCCTGCTTGGTAAGACGTTGGGCTGAAGTTTGTGAGAACGTGAGTTCGAATATCGCCGGCTGAAGAACACCCATGTATTAAATGGTGACTGGTGCACGTTAGATTTGTCCGGGTCACAAAGTCCTTCAAGTTCCCATCAAAAATCAATACCTATGCACCCTCCACTTCCGTCAAACGTACTTCTTAAAAATCAGCTTGATTTACAAAGCAGGTTGCTGAATCAGCAAGTGGCATAAGTAATAACATCAGAATTGAGTATTTTAATAGACTGAAACGATTCGAAAATTAAGTGAAATGTTCTTTGAAATCTTTTATGTTTTCCTTTCCTGGTAAAAACTCCAAATTATCAAATTTTTTCCCTAACTTAAAATTTTATTTTAAATTAAAAATTTTTTCAAATGGATTTTTTAAACAAAGTTTCGACCCATTTATGTCCTTTAGTAACATTCCCTGAAACAACATTTGAAATACTCCTGATTTTATTTCCTAGCTTTTTTCTTAAACATCATTTTCTAAAATGAAATCTGTTTAATTTTACACATCTAAACACTTTATTATTAAACATACATATAAAAAACAGTTCAATGCAATAAGTATAACTATAAAATCTTTCATTATAACATTTAGGGAAAATAACAAACCTGAAATTGTGGTTTATAGATCTGACGTCGCAACCGAAATCTTCCAAACGAAAATGAGACTTTTATACCCTGATGTCTGCAAAAAATTATAGAATAGTGTATCAACCCAGGAAAGTAAAAAGCATAGAACAGGTTCTATATCATGCAATGTGTTCTGTAATGATTGCCCTTATTCTATATTTTTATGATCTTTGTAAAAAATTGATGTTAAAAATGGGGAAGGTAACAATTTAATTTACAGTAAGATGTAAATAAAACCGTAATTAAACTTTGACGAATCAAATGGATAAATTGCTTCAGTTTAGCTTTAATTCAAAACAGAATACTTTTAACAAATCAAGTTGTTAATGTGGTAAAACACTCAAAAAAATAACTAGGTCTAAATAAAATAAATCTGTAACCTAAGGAAACCAAATAAGTCCAAATGAAACAAATCTGTTTAAAAAAACAAATAAATTCATATAAAGCAAATCAGTATCCAAATGAAACCAAATATGTTCAAATAAATAAATCATGTATCCAAATAAAACCATATCAATTCAAATAAAATAAATTTATTTCCAAATAAATTCAAATAAAGCAAAGTATGTATTTAAATAAAACCAAAACAAATTCAAATAAAGCAAATCTGTAACCAAATAAATCCAAATAAAAGATATCTGTATCCAAATAAGGCAAATTTGTATCCATAAAAAACCAAATAATTCAAATAAAACAATCATATATCCAAATAAAACCAAATATATTCAAATAAAACAAATCTGTATCCAAATAAAACCAAATAAATTTAAATAAAACAAATCTGTATCCAAATAAAACAAATCTGTATCCAAATAAACCCAAATAATTCAAAATAAAACAAATATAGTCCTAATGAGACCAAATAAAGAGAAATTCTGTATCCAAATAAATTCAAGTAAAGAAAATTTGTATCCAAATAAAACCATGTAACTAAAAATAAAACAAATCTGTATGAAGCAGAATAATATGAAATCAATTTCGAATTCTTTTCTCAAGAGGATGGTATATCACTGTGAAGACTTTTTCCTCTTTCGCTAACATAACTAATTTAGAACGTAACATAACTAATTTAGAACGTATGTTTAAGTAAAACCAGAAAATAATAATGAATCTATCAAAGGATGAAATTGTTTTTCCGAAATGCAAACATGCATATTGCTTTTCCACTGCATGATTTTGGTTGGCATAATTTGTTTGCAATCTGATATTTTGAAAAAAAAATAGCTTTTAAAACTTTGTTTCCTTTTCTTGATTTACCTAAAATAATCCCAGATAGCAAAATAAGGTTTATTTTAACTTAACAAAAATCTTTTAATGTAAACCTAAAACGGTTTTTTATGCGATTTACGTGTAAGCCTTCTAATCTTAAAGCGAGAGTTCTGTGACAATCAGTTCTATTCTACGCACATTACCCTTATCCGAAATCTTGGAAAACAATCCTCTATATAAAACCCTTAAATCAATTTTGTCTTGGGGTTTTTAAGAGTGAAAAAAAAAGTCCTTGAATAAAGCTAGTCTTAAGGTGAAAATAATCTTAAATCTATGTAATTATAAGTTTTCTTTTCGCAACGTCTTGTATGCTCAGCTAAAATACACCTTGTCATGAAATTTTAATGGACAATGCAATTTGATCCTATCGCTAACATGGCGTCAGCTAAAACGTTATTTATGAACCAAAGTGATCATTTTACCTAGGTGACAATAATTAAAAAAAAAAAAAATCTTTAAACATAATTTTCAACAATTTTCGGATGAAAGGTTTAAAACTGCAATATTTTTGTTTCATTAAAAAAAGGTTTCTAGTGCAAATAGTTTCGTGACAATATAAAGAAAATTCATACACAAGGTTGTCGTAAGGTTACATGCTTTCTGGAAATTTATTTGTTTACTTTAAATTTACGAAAAACTAAATTTGCCATGAAGGCTTTTTTGCTGCGAATGTACCCTTCTCTGAAGTCGTTTTCACCAGAAAACTACTTTGTGGTGTGAGTTTTTAGAAGAATCAGTGAAAAAGCTAGATTTAGACAGTTCGAGAAACTTCATATACACTGTAAAAAATCTCTACATTATGTTTATCCAATACTTGGTGCAAAGTTTGCTAATTGCACCATAAATAGGATAAATCAAAAATTATTTTATCTAGGTTGCACCATAAATTGGAAAATATGATCAAGAAATGCGTTTATGGGGCAATCGATTGCACCAAACTTTCGTACTATGACAGGCACGTGACCGATGACTTATTTTGTAGTTGTTGACAAGATGGACGATTTTGTTGTTGAATCTTGATATCATCTCATGCAAGTTGTCTTTAAAATTGTCAATTTCTTTTGAATGTAAGTAAACTTTTCTTAATTATTTGCATTAATTACAGTTCAGTTCTTTAATATCAACTTTAAAAATTTTGTTGCCTGTTCTGAAAGTGTTAGCTTCAAATTTCTTATAGGAAACTGTTTCGTTGTATGAATAATTAAATATTTTAAAATCTATATTAGCTCTTTTTCAGTAAATAAGGAGATATAACGATTTTATGTGCACAGAAAGTGCATTTACAGTTTATTTGGCTAAAGGAGCATAGCTTTCCGCCAAATTCACTGCCGGTGAAAATTTTCTAGGTTCGTGTTTTTATTTCATTCTACCGATCAAAAAAATTCGTATGTGCTTTCTGTTAGGATTAAAACTTTTTATCAATATCTCTGCTTTTGTTTTGATTTTCATGTTCTATTTTGCTCTTTTTCGTTTGTAATGTCACATAATTACACGAATTTTGGTCTATACATTCTAAAGTGCTTCTGTTGTAAAATTTTCAATGCGAATTATTCACCTCAAATTAATACTAACCGTTGTCATGGAAACTAGATTTCTCTTTACGTTCTCTGAGCGCACGAGGTAGGAGAAAAACTTAGTGGGTAATATTGGCGCTAAAGAAAACAAAGCGATATTTTTTTTTAATTCGCCAATAATACCTTACTGAAATTTAGAACAAAACACCGACAAGAATAAGATTTGTTTTAGAACATTTAGAAATTAACTGATTTCTTATTAGAATTTTTTCTTAAAATATATTTTATTATTAATATTTTTTAACTAAGAGAAAATTTTTTTCAATGAAACAAAGTATTGTATTTAAAAAGATAATAAATATATCTTTTTTATTAAATACATATAAAAAAATACTTTGATACTCATAGATACTCTGCTTTAGATACTTATTTTTCGATGTTTTTTTAATTTTTACTTATTTATTTTATTTTTTGTAGCTTTAAATATATTAATTTAGCCCACATTTGTGTTTTGCGGGTGAGGGGAAGGATAATATAACCATGAAATTGAACGTTTTCATTGATCCTCAAAAATGTCATACGTATTCTTTATAATATTTACAGTTGTTTTTGTTTTTTTAAATAATTTTTTTTTGAAAAGTTTCATTTTAATTACAAAAGTGAAATTTTTTTATTCTGAAATATATGTGCTTCTATGAAACAAAAGACCTTTAGTTAAAAAGGCAACCCTCACAAACAGTATACATGTGGAGTTTTAATACTATCCACATGACTACTGCTTGTGTGTTAATCGTCAGCCAGATTCCACCCTCTTAGACTCAACACGAACTCTTTTATCTATACAAGTGATGATCAATTTGTTCATTTATTATTTTAACTGTTTACAGTTCCTTCAGTAAATTTTTTACTGTGCCGCTCTGCATAAAATTCAATTCACAATTTCTCAAGTGGAGAAATTCTATTTTGGTGTTTTAGCGCATTTTAACAAAAATAATAATAATAATATTTTAAAATATCAATATCTTTCATTCCTTTCCGGAATCTTTGTGGGTAAAAGGAGGCTTAAGATAAAAATCCCCCCCCCCTGTATAAATAGTTGGTCTCGAAATTTTTGTTTTTTAAGGTAGTGAAATGTTTTAAAATTTTTTTACACGAGAACTACAATTTCTCAATTTTCTTTATATTGTATTTTAAAAATAGTAATTAAAATATGACTTTCTTTGATTTATCTTTCTATGTTTTAAAAAAGTAAGGATTCAAATTTTGTTTCTTCTGTACATTTTATTAGCATAAATTACATTATTTTTAATCTTCTTTCATTAGCATAAAGATACCAACAACTTCAATGATTTTAATTGAGAAAGAGACACAGGAAAAAATATTGTTATACCCAGTGCCGAACCAATTGATTCTGCCAAAATCACCAGAATTCCAGAAGGTTATAAACAGTTTTTTCACACTTGAAAAGTGCTAGTTTCAAGAACAGCTTACAAACAAGGAATGTGTATAGTTTCAAGTTTTGAGAATGAAGAACCTGTGCTTGGAAAAACAATTATTCTTTTGTAAATAGGCTCCAAAATTTTATTTGTGTGTAATCTTTTTAAAACTTGTTGTGTTTTTTACAATCAACTAAAAAATGTGATATAGTTAAAGTAATAACACCAGAAAATCTATAATCATGAATATGTAATAAAAATATTGTTTTTTCTCAAATACTCACCATCATTTACTAATTTATAAAAAAAAATTACAGTATTTTTTTTCAAGCTGTGGGAAATTTTACTCTTTTTATCAAGTAGTAAATTATGCTTGTAAAAAAGTAATTTAGCTATATTGTAGATTTTAATTCAGATGAGGCAGAATATGCCAAGAAATTTAGTATCTTATTAAAATATAGAAAATTATTTTCAGATGATCCCAAATTTCAAAACTCTAAACATTGAGGCATAACATAATTTTTATTTTAAATTACTGTAAATTTAAAATAAGTTTGAATTGAATGCACTCTCTTAGTAACAAAAACATACTATCGATCATATTTCTGAGTGAATATTTTGTATTTTTTTTTAATGAATGCTGTGATATGTATAAAAAGTATAATATATTTAAATTTTAAGATTTTGCTTAAAAATTATTACATTCTGTCTATGTATACAAATATCAAAGTGATTGTAAATGAATAAATTATGTTTAAATATTGATCTGTATATTTTTTGCTAATATTTCCAAGTTATTTCATTATTTTTACATTTCTTAATTTACTTCAAATTTAATATTTCCATACTCCAATGTAATTAATATTGGAATGTTTCCTTAATTAGAG